AAACAATCCTGAACCCTAAACCCTAAACCCTAAAATCCTAAACCTTAAACCCTAAACCCATGGGCTTCCGCCCCCGCAGCCTGCCAAGCGAGCGCCCTTAATTAGATAGAATGTAGGGCATTATAGGGATAATGGAAAAGAAAATGGAAACTACAGGTGTTACAGGGATTATATACGGGTTCAATAGGGATTATAGCATAAATATTTGAGTTATATTGGGTTAATGGAAAAGAAAATGGAAACTACTACTTAGGGTTTAGGGTTACGAGTAACCTGACCAACACAATCGCTCCGGGTTTCCGTTTTGGGAACAAGCTCAAGGAAAAGCAAACGAACGTCAACTCTTACAAACGCAGCACACTGCCAGAAGATTCCGTGCAGCACAAACAGGATGCCTTGAGTCCATCAAGAAATCGAAAATGGATCTCCGCAGCGAACAGGTACTACTGAGACGTTTCACATGGCTTAGGTCACACATCTTCAAATCCATCCAGGTATGACTGTGTGCGTGTGTGCGTGTGCTCTTTCCTGGCAATACTTGGCAGCAAGATCTGATCCCTCTCAGCAGCCTGAAGGTGAGCACGGATCTACAGGACCTGTGGGGCAGAAATCCCCCAATACCTCACAGCAGGGCAGCGGAGGGCATACTACAGCACGACACCCAATGAATTGAATTGTACCGAAACAACCATGCTGGCCATGGTGACACGACATCGGGCTTGTTGTCACTGACCTCAAAAACAAGGAAAATAGATGGTTCCAGATATGAACGCGATACATGCAATCAGGCAGCCATGGCAAGCGGAAACCTACCGCGTAAGACAGCAGACTCGAACCGTAGAGCTTACAGAGCCTGTAGAGCTTAGAGACAGACAGACAGACGGAGAGAGAGGGAGAGACAGAGAGAGACAGAGAGAGAGGGAGAGAGGAAGGGAAGGGTAGGCGTTTGACGTGGCTTTTGAGTCTTTTAACTCCTCGGTGCTGTGTGAGGAAGATTCCTTACCTGAGCGGGTGAGGCGGGGGGGTTGTTCTTCAATGCAGATCCAAGGAGAGGGGCGACTGGTGATTTCTATAATTGGAGCGAACCTGCTGGCCGCATTCAAGCCTTTTGGTCCCACAGCTGGCATGGTTCACCTTGGATGAAGGTGCTCAGTTTGTTTTTCTTGAACAATGCGACGGCCGCCTGCATAGTGAGCACAGCAGCCGCCATTTTTGCGGGAATCGCGTTCGGTGTCGGATGGCTTCCGGCAGTTTCTCAACATCGCTGCTGGTGGTGCATGGGGATCGGCTCCATCATCTATGTGTTGACCATGATGTACCTAGGTGGCCAGTATGTGGAGCTTTTGGGCTGTTTGGTATCTGGATGTCTGCATTAGAAAGGGTAAGGTCCTGGTTTATGACTCAATAAGTTGCTTCCCTAAACCCCAAGCCCTGTTTTTTTCGGCTGCGCGGGCATCGAGGTTTTGGCCTTCGCGTCGCCGTGTGTTTGTTGACCGGTTCTGCATCTCGCAGCACGACCCGCAGCTCAAAGCAGAAGGTTTATTCAGTCTTGGCGCCATCCTCAAATCCTCTGACGTTACTCGTTGGTGTCGTCTTTCAATACTTGGGGTTTCCAGAAATGGGGGGGGGGGTGTTCGAATATAGACCCCAACATGGTACAATCTGTATAGTAAGAACCCCCGAGAAGGGACACTGATTTTTGGAAGCTGTCACTTTTTGTCTTTGTGTTCACGCGAGGGGTTTTTGCATACTGCAGCCCTATGACCCTTAAACCCTCACGTCTGAACTTTGAGCCTTCAAGCGTTGACCCCAATGCCCAAAGAAATTAGGGTTTACTTGGAGGATCCTTTGATTTAGTAAGTCTACCTACTATCCCTAATAACCCCCATTACAAGCCCTGTAACCCAAGTTACTAAGTAGGCTTACTAAGTCAAGGGATCGTCCAAGTAGTAGGGTTCATAACCCTGCGCCAATCCCATCCAGTGTTTCCATCAGCGCTCCAACAACAGTTGAGTAGTATTTTATTTGGGGATACTATGGTACCCAATATAGAGTAAGATTTTATCCTCCTTTGGGTGTATAGTATTTTATATAAGGAATAGAATCTTACTAGGTTGAACCACCAAAAAAAACACCACTCAGTTAGGCTATGCTGGTGCTGTGGGACCCGAGTTGGGTACAGCGCTTGTGGTGTCTTGCAGCGTTGAGAAGCGGGGGTTTCCCCGAAATCAGGGGTCCTTGTGGCAGTTTCCCTGGATAGGGGTACCCCAGTATAGACCCCAAAATGCTATAACCCTTATTTATGGGGACCTCCCATAAGGCTTTGGGGAAACCCTCTTACAATATGGATTATGGTATATCAGGGGATCGAAATTGGGAGACCCCAAGTTAGGGAAATTGCCCAAGTTTCAGCTTTGGGCCGAGTGGTGAGGTTTGATTTAGTTTCATGGGTTCCCCTACTACCCCCCTCTATACTACCCCCCCCTAGGTTCCCCCTTAGTTAGCCTTAATTAAGCCTAGTTATCCCTAAATAACTTTAATTAAGGGGAGAAATTGGGGGGTGTAGTATAGAGGGGGGTAGTAGGGGAACCCATGATAGTTAGGCCTTGTGGTCGCTGGGCCCTGCAGAGGGGATTGTATGGGCGCTATATAGGGATGTTCCAGGGGCTAAATGAGCCAGAATCTAAACTCCTAGTATCCCCCTTAATAACCCATATAAAGGTTCCCTACTTATAGAATCTCCTATATAGCCCCCTTTAATGATTTTGGACTATAGCTCATTTAGGGATGTTCCATTGGCTAAATAGGGAGAGGATAGGGACTAGCAAGGTCACCTTGCCCAAACTTGTGGGCCCTGTTTGGGTACACTAAGTACTTGGGAGGGGTTTAGGGATTTAGGGATTTAGGGTTTGGGGTTTAGGGTGGAGGGTCAGGGGGACTTAGTAAGTAGTTTAATAGCCCCCATAGCCCATATGTTAACCCTACTTATCCCCCTTACTCGCAGTTTAGATCAAGACCTTGATGAGGATTAGGTAAGGTATGTTAGAACATGTTGCAATTCGGCCTGTTGCGAGCAGAAGTCATGATACATGCAACCCCATCACCCTAGACTCATAGGACTATAGGACTGCCATGGCCAGCAATACCCATCCCCCGAACCTTGTAGGGTCCAACATGCCTTGACTGGGTTCAGGGGTTTAGGGTTTAGGATCTGAATATTCTTCATCATCCCCCATACTGCCCTACTGGGAGGGTCAGGCATAAGTGGGTTGATACCTCATAGCCCATAGAGTAACCCGAGTTATCCCCCATAAACCCACTTACGAAGTCCCCCTGACCCTCCAAGAAAGGCCCCAATTTTTCGGGGTCCACTGAGTTCGGGGGCCCACAATGACCCTATGATGCTCGGCAGTTATCAACCATTGCTTGTTGCTACCCGAGGAGGCAGCAGCAAATTAGATCTTTACGAAGCAACCGCCATAAAATCCCCCTCCCCCTCATATTAAGCCCCCCCAACCCCCCTCCTAATATTAACTATTCTTGTTATGTGGTATATTAGAATATATTGGGAATATTTGATATTAGGAGGAGTGAGGGGATTTAATATTGGCCTCGCCTAACTATCAATGGCCATACTAAACTACGGACCCAGAAAGGGACCCTGTAGAGTTTGCGGCCTAGGCCGCTGTTGAGATTGGGTTCTGCGTTCACGGGGGTTCATAGGTGGATGCTTCCCTCCAACCTAAACCCTATTACGCAGCGAAAGGTCTGCTGGAATCAACGGACTTTAGGAGGGACCCCGAATAGGGACCTTTGAAGCTTATGGAGGCTAATATGGGAACTACCTGGGCGTATATGGGGCTAGATATTGACGATATACGGGTTATATATGGCAATGGGATTAAGGGTCCCTACTAGAGGTCCCTCCTACAGTCCCTGGATGGAATGTTTGAGGCCTCTATGATTCGAGGTTTGCAGGTGCAGGGTCCCCGGTAATCCCCTCCTCCTATACTTTTGCCAACTCCCCAAGATAGTGGCCGCAAACCTCTACCGTGCGAAAAAACAACCACAACGACAAGAACAACAACAGCAACAGAAACAGCAACAGCAACAGCAAAATCATCATCAACAACAACAACAACAACCCTAAACCTTAAACCCTAAACCCATAGAGGGGCAATGACGACTACTACTACTACTACTACTACTACTAGAGGTGTGTTTTTGAGCTGGCCGCCTTTCTGTACACGCGGTCCGCACATAAAGAGCCACCCATTATCATTCGGCCGACGGTGCTGGGGTTGACCCAGTGCCTGGGCGCTTAGGTTTTAGGGTGTTTATAGACCCCACTTAAGTAGATAAACTCCTTAAAAGTGTGTTATTTAGGGGATTATATAAGGGACCAAGGGGGATACTAAGGGGGATACTAGGAGTTTAGACTTTACTTGGAGGGTCAGGGGGACTTGGGAAATGGGCGAATAATTGGGATAACTAGGGTTACTATATGGGTTATAGGCTTTATGAACCTACTTACTATGTCTCCCTGACCCTCCAAGTAAGGGTTTAGGGTATAGGGGCTTAGCGGTTTAGTGTTTAAGGGTTAGGGGTTTAGGGGTCTAGGGTTAGGGTTTTGAGTTTAGAGTTTAGGGGCTTCGGGGTCTAGGGTTTAGGGGGTTTAGGGTTCATATGCTTTCGTGTGATGCTGTAACGCAGGTAACGAACACGGCATAGAGATTGGGGTAGAATTTGCATGTTTCAGCATGATGGGTCGAAAATTTGTGAGTACGTACCTACCCCAAGATCTGTTAGTCGTTATTATAAATACTGCACCCAGAAGATACCGCAGATAAGTTTGACCGCCCCATAGTTAACTATTGTCACTAGTGCTATTATTACTATTTGTATGTTGCTGTTATTACTATTACTACTATTTCTGCTAGTATTCTATAAGTCTAAACAGGTGTAGTGGCTGGTTTGCGCTTTGCCTTTCGGGTTGGACCATGCACATTGCCCATGTATTTGCCTACAACCTCGTGGTTGTAAATCTGGTGGGATTGAGCCTTTCTGGCCTGATTTTCCTCGCGATTGCGCATCTGGGCCGGAAGTACTGCCGGGACGTGACGACCATGTGCCACCAGGTTGCCAATTTCCGAGTGGCAGCTGCGAAGAGCCACTGCTGTGCCTCCAAGCACAGGATTGCTGGCAGCCAGAAGTCCATGATGCTCGGGCGCCACTATCCATAGGAACTAAATGTACATGAAGGGGCTGCAGGGCCATATACTGCCGTAGAAATATTATAAAGTTATTATACAGAGCTTCACGAGTCTAGGGTTCTTTTGAGCCCCAAGGATACAGCATGATTTGATGTGGTGAATCAAGTGCAGGACTGTACTGTCTGCAGCCTTACTGCCAAAACTCCGCAGTTACCATGCCTAAGCTCCTAAATAATACTTGGAGGGTCAGGGAGACATAGTAAGTAGGTTCATAAACCCTATAACCCATATAGTAACCCTAGTTATCCCAATTATTCGCCCATTTCCTAAGTCCCCCTGACCCTCCAAGTAACACTGCAAGGATCTGCGACCGGGAAATTGTGCAGCGGTGTATTCGCAAGTGGTTTGGCAGCACTGAAGCCTTTGAACGGCGAGTCCATACCGAGGCAGAAGTGCTGAGACATAGGGTTTTCTTGGCTGAACCTAGTAATATAGGGATAATGGAAATGAAAATGGAAACTACAATCCCTGTAGGGTTTATATAGGGATTATGTAGGGGATATATTGGGGTAAAAAAGGGATAATGGAAAAGAAAATGGAAACGACTATATGGTAGTTTCCCAAAATAAGGGGACCCCAATATAGAACCTAAAATATTATAGTCCTTATTACAGGGACCCCCAAAATGGTACCCCCAATTTTGGGAAACCCCCATATTATAATAGGGTATATTTTGGGGTTATAGAGTTATATGGATTCTATAGGGGTTTTATTAGGGTTATATTGCCCCCAATAATGGAGAATCAAATGGAAACGAAAATGGAAAATGAAATGGAAACTGTGGTTATATAGGGGATTATAGGGGTTATTATAGTTTCTCCAAATGATGTTGTGGGCTAAACTCCTTCAGGGGGGATATATAGGATTTTACCTCAAATTATGTTGCGGGCTCTATAAGGAGGGGGGTATACTATGTAAGGGGAAAGTAAGGGACCTGAATGTAGGGAAATGCTCACTAAAATTCGTTGGGGGCTACGTGAAGCACATGGCAGCAGGTGGTGCTGCTATTTGACGCCTTTAAGGAACTGTTGCAGCCCATCCGGGGCTGTTGTTTAGGGGGTGTCGATTGCGGGGTGCCAAGGACAGTTTGGGCTGTGCTTCCTACAACGGTTTAGGCATCTTGGAGTACCTAGAACCCCCAAATACCCTCTATAGACCCTAAGTATCCCCAAATAGAAGCTACATAGACCCTATTTTAGGGTACTTGGGGGGTCTATGTAGTTGAAGGCACTTAGAAAGCCGCATGGAGGCTCCTGCAGCCTTTCACCATGGGGCTTGAACTCCTCAACCCCTAGACCCTGGACCCCCAAACCTTCAACTCCTAGACCTTCACCCCAAACCCGAAACCCCTAAACCCCTGGACCATCTTCGATGATGCCAAACAACGCACAATTCAGGGTTTAGGGCTCAGGATCTAGGTTTAGGGTCTGGGGTTTAGGAGTCTAGGGTTTAGGAGTCTAGGGTTTAGGAGTTTAGGGTTTAGGAGTTTAGGGTTTAGGTGTGTAAAGCCTAGGGTTAGGGGCTTAGGGTTTAGGGTTCAAAACCGACATTAACAGGGGTGTTGAGTAGGTCAAGAGTTGGGGAACCCAGTATCAATTCCCAAATACTAAAACTCTCATTACAGGTACCCCCGAAAAGGAGCCCGTAGGTCTTGGAATTCCAAAGACCTGACTGAAATTTCTATGCATCCCCATAGTAGCCGTAGTCTAAACTCCCTAAAAGGGTTTTAGGGGATATAAAGGGACACTTAAGTTTTGGAAGCCCTCCACTAAGCCTTTCTTTTCCATGCAAGCGCGTGACCTGAAACCTCCAAGGGACTCCAAAGTTTAGGAAACCCTAAAGCCTAAATCCTAAATCCTTAAGCCTATAAACCTTAAACCCTACATCTTGGGTACTGCTCCCCCCAGGAAAGGTCTATATTGGGGTCCTATTAAGGGCTATATATAACCATATTGTAATTATTATCCAACTGTTACTGAGGGGGAGCAGTACCCAACCTTAACCCTATAAGCCTTAAACCCTACATCCTAAACCCTTAAAGCTTTTCTTGTCCACGGAGGTGTGTGACCTGCTTGTGAATCAACTCTCCAATCACATGATCTCATACTGGCGCTTCATTGAGGCTGGAGACCCGACATGGGAGCTGGGGCTTAGAGCTTAAGGAATATAATCATGGAGCAGCAAATGGAAAGAACATGCAAAATTACATGGCCACTAGGAGTAAACCCCTAACCCCCTAAACCCTAAACCCTAAACCTAGTGCTTTATAGGGATCAGGGTTCATCGAGTTTTGAGACCTGAAATGATGTAGAAGCCCGGCGTACTGGGAAGGGTGTATGGCAAAAGGTTTAAGGCTGGATCCTTTAGACTTTAGGGTTACGGTTTAGGGTCTGGGGTGTGGTCACGCCATAGGATGCGCGCTGGTGCGGAGACACACCCCGGCCGCTCGCACAGGTGCGTAGCAGTCAACCCGCACCGTGACCACCCTGAGTTCAAGCGATTTGGGGTTTAGTTCCTGAAGTCGGCGGGGGCAAAGGCAGCACCGACGAGGCAGGGCATGACATCATGTACGTGGAGGTTCTGACTTTCTGTGAGGCTGTTTTGCCCGAAGGTCACGCAAAGACCGTCATGTTGGGTTACTCCCTAGGCTGTGTGTGACAGCCGCGCTCTCAATGGTGATGGTCAGCGCTGGCTTTCTGCGAGGCTGGTGTGTCACTTCCGGCCGCCCGGGCACGGCAGCACTCAGAATTGGTCCGGAAGCCATTACAGTGGAAGTGGCCAGTGGTCCTGGAGGCCTAGGAGGGCCCTGCGGAGGCGCCGAGGGGGTTACCTTGACGTTCTTTGCCGCTCGCAAACCTTGGGCAGCTTCAGGCTCCGAGTGCCGGTTGTCGAGCCTTCAGCTAAGACCTTACGGTTTAGGATTCAGCGTTAAGAATCTAGGGTTTAGGCCTTACGGCTTATAGGACTCCGCATTTAGAGCTTTCGGTTTAGGGCTCATGATTTCGGATTGAGCGTTGCAAGCTTAGGGTAGAAAGCTTAGGCCTGCTGTCATAAATCCTGGTATGACTGTTTGTACATCTTTCCTAAACGCCCTAAGCCTTAAACCCTAGACTACACCCTAAGCTCTAGTCAGTCCCTTATAGTCAACATGACTGGGTGGGAGGGTCCCGCTTTACATACCCTAAACCCTTCAGCCTTGGATGTCCGAGGCCACGCCAGTTTTTCTGTGGATTCTTTTGGATATTGCCGCGCATGAGCTGCGTTATGCTCATCAGGCGGGACATTGAGTGCAGATTTTTTAAGTAGTTTAGAGGATTCCTGGTTGAGGGGCTTAGAGGGTTCCGAGATTACGATTTAGGGCGTAGAGCTTGGGGATTAGGATTTAGGATTTAGGGCGTAGGTTAGGACGTTCAGTTTACGGTCTGGAGTTTCAGGGGGATGGCCCCTGACAGATGTCCTTCCCCTGAAGGTGCTGCCCCATGAAGCTGACATCCCAAAGGTTAGGGTCTAGGGCCAAATTCACTTCGAATCAATTTTGAGGAGGCCCTGAGAAGGGTGAAGAATCAGGGCGTAGAGCTCTACCACACATGTTGGTGGCAGGGCGACCCTTCGATGTACCAGCGCAGCCTCCTCACATGTCTGACTGGCCTGACCTATTGGCTGCTTGATTGCCTGAAGCCTCTAAGGGCAGGGTCTGTTATCTCGTAGTTACCACACATAAGTGCACCCCAAATTAGCTTTCAATATCGCACAACCCCTTGCAACAAGGACCTTCGAAGCTACAGGAAGTTGGAGGCGTCAAAGTGGTTCGGTTTTGGGGAGACCGATGCATTCAATACTGATCATATGGCGATTTGTCGCACGCAACCCCGGATGCTAAAATCTCAAGATATTGGGCCCCACCAAAGAACCAATGAGTTTTACAAGCTGCCATATCATGTTAACGCCGGCATGGTAACATTTAGCCACATCCAAATCCCGGAACCCCGAGCCCCGAACGGAAGATGATTTTGATGATCTACGGCCTATCTGACTGTCAAAACACGCACCAGTGCAGTTCCACATCATCTGAATGATTTCCGAGCACAGCTAGCTAGAAGCATCGTGAGTGCCATCATCAGTACCACCAGTAGGGAGAGCGTAGTCAGCACCAACCCTGAACCCTAATTGAATCCCACACCCTAAATCCAAAACCCTCTCGTCGTAAACTCCATGCCATAGTAGCTTATGCATCTCGCACTTCTATCGTGTGACCCTAAAGTCTGAACTGAACCCTCATCCACAACAACTCGCAGTGGGGAAGACCAAAGATGACTTTGCTGGGATGGTTGAAGTTAGCCTTACAGAAAAGTTTTCGCTCCCATTGCAAGTGCCAAGTGGATTTCCAACCCAAATGGTAGTCTCTATATACATCGGGTACACTTATTATAAGAACCCCGAAAGGGTACCGCTATTTTGGGAGAACCCCAATGAGGCTTTCCAACAATTGGAAGGCATTTATTTTGTGCGCTACATCCCCAACCGTCCACTGCGTTCAAGCCCTCAACCTCTTAGTGCGCCAATGCGTCACGGTTCGAGGCGTTTCAAGCTCCATAAACCCTAAGCCCGCCCCAAAACCGTAGGCTTTGCGATAGGGGTCTGAGAACTGTAGGTTCTGGTTTAAAGTTTAGTGTTCAGGGTCTGCTGGCCGTACTAGCAAATCCTCCCTAAACCCTAAACCCATGCTAATGCCATACTAAACCCACTAGGCTCTAGATTCTTGATTTCGGGTCTGGCAGGCGCTTCGCCTGGCCGTCTCCCCTTCTAAAACCCGTTAGTGTAGATGAGCTACTGTCGAAATTAGGCTTACCAAGGGCTTGGGTTTTACGATTAGGGTTTAGGGTGTAGGCTTACCAGAGACCATTAAGGGTGGACATGGGGGTTCCGCTTGTAGTTTAGTATTGGTCAATATGGACTGTAGCTCAGATGGGGCTTCTGTGGAATGTTGGTGAGTGTATAAGTTTGGTGACCCATTCCGGGAACATAAACAAAACCATTGGACATGTGGCGGTAGTGACTTTGAGGGTTTAGGGGTTTAGGCTTGCAGGCTTGGGTTTGGGGCTTAGCGTTTAGGGCTTAAAGTTTAAGGTGTAGGGTTTCGGGTTTATGGGAGTGGGTTTGGGGGTTTAAGGTTAGGAGTTTAAGGTCAAATTTAAGCCCTAAACTCAAGCGGTGGGTACGCAGTTCGCAAGGTCGACCTGGTGGGGGCCTTACGCCCGTCAGGTCCTTGCCCCGGGTTTCAGGGCCTCCCAGAACACCCAGAAGCTCTGTCCAATATGGGCTATTAGACCTTAAGGGTACCTTAATCTACCCTTAATAGGGTCCTAATAGCGCATTTTAGGGTCTA